TTGAGTTGCATGTTTACTACACATCCCATCGCCCTCATTCCCTTCCTGCTCGGCATCCAGTGTTTTTAGGCCAGGAATGTGATTTCCTTGTGCTGACAGTAAGATCATTATTGATGGCAAATGCTGACTTCTTGCTGGTAGCCCCTATTCTGTGCTTTGTTGTGAGATGTCTTAGCAGAGATTTGCCTGCAGTGAATTCAGGCCTGTGTAATGGACGAGTGCAGAGTGACAGAAGAACACAGATCAGTGGCTTAATGCAAACCCCGTGGCTGGAGAGAGCCCTGCAGTTTGGGCTCTGTGTTGCTGGTCCCCTCCAGCACAATGTTGTTCTGGTCCAGATGCCTTCCCTTGTTTGCTGGTTGAACACTGATGTGTGATGACAAGCAGCGGATGGAGCACGGCCTCTCTGGTAGGGAGAAGTGAAATCACGTCCAAAGTGCTGTAAGAATTGCTCAGGTGACCTGATTTTGTCTTCCACTATCAGTTTGTCAAAGGCACAACTACTTGGAGTGATACTGTGTGTCTGGAATTCAACCTGCAGTGTGCAAAACAGTGGCTTTAAGGTCTGCTTTTCTTACAGGGGAAAAAAAAAGACATGGAGGGCAGTGAAGATTTGAATGACTGGTTGTCAGGTAAAAACCCAAACAGGAATTGTGCGCCCCTAAAGGTTTTGGCAAACCTGTCTAGGCTGTCTCAGGATGGAAATTTTAATGCTGAGATGCTACTGATGTATTTGAGGCATTTCATAGAATTTTTAAGGTCGGAAAAGACCTTTAAGATTATCAAGTCCCCCTTGTCTGGGCTTCTGTATTTGAATAGTGACCATGTTGGATCTGCTGGTGAAATGTGAAACTCTACCAAGGAATTAAGAAACAGGAATTAAAGAGTTATCGAAGAGTCTTTTTGCAGAGTTCTTGGGAAAAGAGAAAATGCAAAGCCTTTTTTTCCATCACTTGGAATGACAGAAATAGTCTTTGCTCTATTAAATCAGTACCAGTAGTATCAGTGGCTCACAGTGACCTTGCTTTAAAGTTGTTGGAGGGCAGGAATGTTTTCTTCTGCCAGCATGGCCATTTCTGCAGTTGTTCACGTTGAGCAGGCTGTGTGCTGGGGATGTGTCAGCAGTGATGTGAAACTCAGCTCAACAACATCACTCAGGATGGGCATCAGTGAATGTTGCACTTGCTGGGCTCCCTCTGAACTTATCCTGTTCATACGAGTTTTTCTTGAAGCATTTTAAAGATGTATTTGAGACACCCCTGTTTCACTGTGTTGATTAAATGATGGGGTTCATTGCTGAGAATTGTGAACCTCTAAATTTTAGTAGAGAGCTTTTCCTGTGTGGAATGTCTGTGCATTTTAAGGCATCGGGCTGGGTTGTGCTAGTTTGCTGGCAGTGTTGAGCTCCCTGCGTGAAAAATCAAAATGCTACATTCCAAAAATCAAAATATTTTATTCCACATACTGAATTGGCTTTACTCTGCCTCTAGAGATGCACTGGGGTCTGGTTTGTTGCTGATGAAGGTCTTCCAAGTAGTGTAAATAGGCTTGACCTCGGCAGTGGAGTAAAAAGTGGCAGGTCTGACCCTTTAATGGCCCCGTGGATGGAGGATTTCCATGGTTCCACTTTTCAGTGTGGCTGTCTCGGAGGGGCAGTAAGACTTTGTCAAGGAAAATACTTCGGGGGCATTTCATGCACCTGGCAGAAGTCACAGAGCACTGAGCAGTTCTGGAGGTGGGGGGGATGAGTGGAGGGTATAAACTGTGCCAGAGCCTTTCAGGGCCCCGTATTTATTGTGCACGGGTGTCCCACTCTGCCTCCAGTGCCTGCGGAGGGAAAGGTGAGCGGGAGCCGCTGCCGAGGGCCCTTCAGGACACACGGCGTGGGCTTGGAGCCAAAGGACTTGTTTGGGTTGGCTGCCGTGGCTTCTGGCTGCTCTTGTCCCAGGGCCTGAGGGACTTCTCCTGTTCTGGGAGCGGATCTGTGCTAATTGCAGGACGGGAGGAGCGGCCGGGCCGGAGGGAGCTGCTGGATCCTTGGATCCCTGCCCGGCCGGGGTGGGCGCAGCCGAGCGATGCTGCCCTGGGCTGCGGGCACAGCCCGGCAGCTCAGGAATTCCGCGGGCATCTGGGAGCTCTGACGGAACACTGAACACCGCATCCCCTACTCTGCAAGTTCTGTCCCTGCTCCGAGATAAGCCGGGGTTATATGAACAACGAACGGCAGGTTTCTTAGGGCTGGTGTACTCCTCTGTCCAGGAGTGAAGAGGGATGGCCTTTGGGCCACCGGGGGATGATGGCCTTTGGGCCACCGGGGGATGATGGCCTTTGGGCCACCGGGGGATGATGGCCTTTGGGCCACCGGGGGATGATGGCCTTTGGGCCACCGGGGGATGATGGCCTTTGGGCCACCGGGGGATGATGGTCTTTGGGCCACCGGGGGATGATGGTCTTTGGGCCACCGGGGGATGATGGCCTTTGGGCTACCGGGAGCACAGGCGGCCGCGCTACAACCAGTCCCCTTCACAAGAAGCCCTGGAAGAAGTTGCAGGGTGGAGAGCTGTGCTGAGTAGCAGCAGAGCGACCTCGTAGCCCGCCTTGCTCCCCGCAGGAGAGCTGCTGCAGCATCCGGAGGCGGTGCCGGGTGTCCGCGCGCCCGGCGCGGCGTGGGCGGGGCGGGATGCGGGCAGGGGGGTGGGATGCTCCAGAGAGGGCTGGAGGAATGTGCCGGCGATTTGTCTGCGCTTAAAAGTGGCTCCTCTGGAGGGGTCTGTCATCCCGGGAGGATGAAAAATGGTTGATCCCGCTCCGGGTGAGGAGCCTGCGCTCCCCGCGCGGCGCGCTGGAAAGCGCGGCCTGGATCGGGATGCGGGATGCGATCGGCGAGCCCGCGCACCGCCCTGCCTGTGGGGGCTGAGGGCTGCTGGGTTTGCGGATCTGACTCTTAGGAAAAAATTGTTATTCCTGTTATCCTCATTAGACCCTTTTTTAATAACAAATCTTCCCTGCCGCCCTCCCTTTCCCCCCTGCCTCCCCTTTGGAAATACCTATTGGAAATGGCCTTTTGCATGTGAGAGGAATGGAAAAATCTGCTAACATTCTGTGATAGCAAACAAGCATTTAGAAAGAGCTGGAAGCTATTTTCAGGATGGTCAAATGAGACCTTCTAGAATGCCAGACTGATTTGGGTTGGAAGGGACACTGAAGATCATGTCATTCCATTCCCCTGCCATAGGCAGGGACACCTTCCACTAGACCAGGGTTGTTCCAAGCTGTGTTCTTAAGACTTTCTCTCCAGAGCTGGCCTTGGTCAGGTATCTGCTGGAGATACATGTACAAATCTATTCCATGACGAATAGAGTAATGATGAATAATCAATGTTAATTAGTCAGTGTTAAAGACAACAGCATCTGTCATCTGGAGGAATGAGTTAAATCGGGAATTCCCGGTGTTCCAACTGGTAATGGAACAGTGGTGTGTGTCGTGGGAATCCAGTGTCATCAGCCAACTAACGTGTGTAGGGGCTGGCACCCAGAGCAGCATCCTTCCTGTGAGAGTACAACCTCCCACCTGGAAATGCTCCTGAGGGCATGTCCTGCCCAGCTCATGGTCTGGAGCTGTTCTTCTCTGGAGGGCTGGTCAGTCCCTGGCACAGCTGTCCAGGGCAGTGGTGGAGTCACCAGCCCCGGGGGATTTCAAATATGTAGATGTGGCACTTGGGGCCATGGGTTAGTGGTGGCCTTGGCAGTGCTTTCCTTCCTTTTTACCCCCTTATTGCTTTTGGCCCTCACTGGCACTGGTGAAGGGTGTTTGACTGTAGGCTTGGAAGGGATGTGCGAGGCAGCTGAAGGCAGTTTTTGAAGCTTGACTTTTAAGAGGATGTCACGCATGGAAACTACAAACCTTATTCCTAATGTTGCTTGACTTCTGTCTGCCATCCTGGCTTACAAATGACTTTATTTTAGTGGACATTTACTGGTTGATCACTACCTCAGCATCCCTGGAACTGGCCTGTAGAGAACTGGCAAGCTGGGTGTGATAGGAGTGTGTGTCACAGCCTCTTCCAGCTGTGTACAAGAGCCAGGTTCTGATGAAACCACTGCTTGGGAAGGGTACAGCAGGTTGGTTTTTGCATGACTAACCATTTACTAATGTGGTTTTTTAATTGTGAAAGGTGTTTGTGATGAAAACATTTGTTAAGGATGGTCACAGACCAAAAAATGAATCAATTCTGGGTAATTTTGACTATTTTTAAGGAGGGAGTGTGACCTCAGTTCATCCTGCATGCAGAATCTGAGCCTCAAACCCCAGGTTGCTCTGAGTTGATGGGCACTGTGTGCTTTGCCCATTTGTGGGTCTGGATCAGTCCTGGATCTCGTTAGTGCATATAAATATCTCAGAGAGGTCAGAGGATGGTGCCAGGCTCTCTTCTGTGTGGCCCAGTGATAGGACGAGGAGCAATGGCCATAAACTAAAACACAACAAGTTCCACCTCAACATGAGGAAGAACTTCTTTCCATGGAGGTGGCAGAGCCCTGGAACAGCTTCCCAGGGAGAGTGTGGAGTCTCCTCTCTGGAGACATCCCAAACCCACCTGGACATGTTCCAGTGCCACCTGCTCCAGGTGCCTCTGCCTTGGCAGGGCGTTCATGATCTCCAGAGGTCCCTTCTGTGGGGACCCGTACCGATTCTGTGGCTGGGCTCCTGGTGCTGCTGCCGGGCAGGGTGAGGTGGTGCTGCCGGGCAGGGTGAGGTGGTGCTGCCGGGCAGGGTGAGGTGCTGCCGGGCAGGGTGAGGTGCAGCCCCAGCGCTGCCCCTCCACCGGTGGATGCAGCAGAGGGACTCCGCGAGCGCCTTTTCCCGGTGCCGGGAGCGCGCCCTCCTCCCGCTCCCGGCGGGCGGGACTCCAGTCCGGCGCTTGGGCGGTCCCGGCTGGCGCGGCCGAGCCGAGCCCCGCCGAGCCGAGCCGAGCCGAGCCGCGCTGGCCGCCCCGGGGCGTGCGCCGGGCGCTCGGGCACCGCCGGCACCGCTGCGAGCGGACCTGCCCGCCCGGCCCGGGCTGCTGGGGACGGCGCCGATGGGAATCGGATTGACCCGGCGGAGCGGCGGGAAGCAGGAGGCGAGATCCGCAGCCGAGCCGCCGCGCCGTAAACAATGAGCTCGGCGGCGGCGGCTGCGGCTCCCGTGCCGTGAGCGCCGAGCCGGGACCCGCGGGCGGAGGATGCGCGCCTGGATGGGAGCCGTGCCCGGGAGGGCGCTGCCAGGGGCGCCGGCCGGCGGGGAGCGCAGCCGGAGCCCGGCCTGACCCCGCCGCAGAGCGGGGTGTGACACCGGAGCGTCTTTTATTTATTTATTTTATTATTTTTTAATCGGGTTGCAGTGGTTGGTGGCTCCGCTTTCCCAGCCGCCCGCGTCTCTCCATCCATCCGCCCCTCCATTCATCCATCCGTCCGCCCATCCATCCCTGCGGTGATGCCCGCGGTGGCCGCCGCTGCCTGAAGGGCAGAGCCATGTACCTCCTGGACAGCAGCGAGCCGCCGGCCGCCGCCTCCTCCCCCGAGAGGATGCAGCGGGGCACCCCGCAGAGGAAGACGGTGTACCGCATCTCCGTGACCATGGTGAAGAAGGAGCTGCTGGGGCCGGAGAGCGGCCGCGCCGGCCCCGAGCTGCCCCGGCGCGGGAGGAGCCGCCCGCCCGGCTCCTCCAGCCTCACCAGGGCCGGGCTGCTGCTGCTGGAGGAGGAGGAGGACGAGGAGGAGGAGGGCGGCGAGGAGCGCGACAGGGTCCCGAGCCCCTGCGGCTTCCGCACCTTCCGGACGCTGAGCACGGGGCAGCTGGAGCTGGGCCGGCTCAAGGTGCCGCGGAGAGCGGGGCCGCCCGTGCCCGGGGGCCCGTCCGTGCCCGGGGGCCCGCGGGGCAGCGCCGCGCCCGGAGCAGCCGCGGCCGCATCCCCCGGCGGGCAGCAGCAGCAGGAGGAGAAGGACGGGCGGCCCGGGGAGAAGGCGCCGGCGGAGCGGGGGCACAGCCCGCGGCGGCAGCCGGGGCTGCTGCGGCGGAGCTTCAGCTTCAGGCACTGGAGCGGCGCGGGGGAGCCGGCCCGGGTGCGGCGGCACAGCAGCTCCGGGAGCCTGCCCGGGCCGCCGCCGCCCTCCCCGCCCGCCGCGCTGCCCGCAGAGCCCCCCGAGAAGCGCAACACGCTGGACGTGGGCGAGGTGCTGAGCCAGGCGGACCCGCTGTCCCGGCTGGAGCGCTGGGAGCGCAGCAAGAGCAAGAACCGGACCCTGGATAACAGCGACCTGCAGCGGCTCTCGGAGCGCCTGGGCCGGGAGGGCCCGGCCGCCGGCACCGAGCACCGGCTCCTGCGCTTCTTCAGCGGCATCTTCGCCCGCAGGGACGGCCCCGCCGCGCTCTTCGGCAGCCCCCACGGCCGCTCCCCCCGCAGCAGCTTCTCCCGGTCCAGGGCTTACTTTAGCAGCCTCAGGAGAGCCGCCGTGGACATGCAGTCCAGCTCCGAGAGCATCAACGGGTCCCCCCACAAAGGTGCCCGTCCCTGTCTCACCTGGGTGGTTGGGCAGCTCGGGGGGTGGGTGATGGGGTCAAGGGGCTGCGGTGTGCGAGGAGAGGGAGGGAGATGCTGCACTAGGGTATGTGAGGCTGGGGAGGCTCTGGCACAGGTTGCCCAGAGAAGCTGGGGCTGCCCCTGGATCCCTGGAAGTGTCCAAGGCCAGGTTGGACGGGGCTTGGAGCAACCTGGGCTAGTGGAAGGTGTCCCTGCCCATGGCAGGGGGTGGAACGGGATGCGCTTTCAGGTTCCTTCCCACCCAAAACATTCCATGATTTATGGCTTTATGGGCACAATGTATTTTGGAGTGCATGGTAGTGCAGCTCTGCTGAGGGCAAATCAGGCTGTGTGAGCCTCCTGGACCAAAAATCCCTTTCTGGGTTATTGATTGTGTGTTCCAGGACAGCTGAGTGAGACAAGTGTAGCTCTCTTAATTACGGAATAGAAGCTGAACTCCAGTGCTGCTGTATATATAGGTCACTGGGTGGCCCAGTAAAGCACAGCACTGGGACCTTCTCCTTTTGGAAAGACTTCTGTAATCAAAAAAATGGGTTATGTTGGTCTGAAATGTGCCTGCTGGAGAAGTAAGTGACTATTGGTGTAAATGTCTTATGAATTGTAAACCTTTATTGCAGCAAAAGAGCTTAAACTGAGTTTGATATTTTTGAAAAAGCACAAAAACCTAGAAGCCACGGTCTTGGAGTTATTTTATTATTTGAGTTATCTTATGTAGCTGTGAACTGATCTTTGACTAGCCAAAGCATTGCTAGTGCGAGGTGGGAATCAGGCTGGGAATTCTAGGGTTTGTGAATCCCTCAGACACAAGAAAAACTTGAAAAATAACCTTACTGTGGGCTGGAAGTGAAGAGCTGACGAGCTGCTTTCTGTAAGGATGTGGAAGGATCACGGTATCGCTGACTGGGACGTGTTAAACCAGAAATGCTGGTTGTGGAGCTTCAGCGAGAGACGTTGCTTTCTCTCTCATAGCTGTGCTTTCACATCTTTAATAGGCATCTGTGATGAAACGTTTAACTGGCAATTACAGTCGCCTTTGAGCACCCAGCGCTTATCAGGTGGCAAATGATCTGTAAGTCGCTGCTTTTCTAAAAATACAGTTCTCAATTAGAAAGATTAAGCTTTCCTGAAGGCACAGGTACAGCCGAGGATGGTGTGGAGCTGGGCCCAGGTGGTTTACTGGGGGAAGCAAAAGCCAGCCCCCGACAGATCCAGGGCTCCCACTGCGAGTGGAGCGTGCCCGGAGTTTGAGGCACAAGGAGCAGAGCCAAATATTTAGCCCTGGTAACTGAGGACTGGAAGGTTTTATTGATGCAGAGGCATTCATGTGGGCTTATAATAATCTTGACGGAAATTGTGGTCTGACCTTGGGTAAAGTTCAAGGTAACCACAACAGAGAATTACTTCACAGGACTCCTTATGCCTGTCCTGTGCCAACTCAGACTGTTCCTCTCCTCCAAGAGCACCAGGTCAGGTACTCACACAGGATCCCCCAGTCCTCTCAGCCTGGGAGGAGGGTTCAGTTAATCAGTAACTGTTGGTACACAGCAGTAAGATGGGCCTGAGAGGTTCTTTCTGTACATGGCAGTACCAAATTTGTCTGGTGCAAGGAGGCTTTGAGGCTTGTGTTGCAGAAAATGCCTGCTGGGACCAGCAGTGTGGCTGCAGGTTGACAGCAGCATTGCAGGCTTGTGTTCTGGGTTAGCAGGCCTGGCTGCTCTGCTTCCTTCTCCTTTTCTGCAGAAAATCACAGCTTAGAAAAATACCTGTGCACAGTTCCAGCTGCTGCTCGTTGTTGACCTTCACAAAGCCAACCTTAAACTAATTTAATTTCTCCTATTATGTCTTAAGAAAAAAGTTTAATTAGCTAATCACAGGCACACAGGTGGAACCTTACCTTCAGCATGTTGAACAGTTTCACCTGTGTAACCAGATGAGAAAAGATTTGTTACTTGAAGCTCCCCCTGAGCTGGTGAGGCCCTGGCACAGGTTGCCCAGAGAAGCTGTGGCTGCCCCATCCCTGGAAGAGTTCAAGGCCAGGTTAGATGGGACTTGGAGCAACCTGGGCTAGTGGGAGGTGTCCCTGCTCATGGCAGGGGGTGGAATGAGATGAGTTTTAAGGTTTCTTCCCACCCAAACCATCAGTGATTCTGAACTTGTTTCCCTTCTGCTGTTGGTATTCTGCGTGTTTGGTGCTGTGCATGAGTTACTTGAGTTTGTACTTTACATATAAAACCTGCCCAAAGTCTGCAGAGAAAGTAGAAGTTTTAAAAAATGTAGCTTGTTGCCTTTTCAACTTGAAATATTCACCCATATATTGCAGTATCTGCTTGTATGATATTTCCTGAAAAGGAAATACCTACCCCTGTCAGGTGCAATATTCTTTTGAACAAGCTGAAGTTATGGAGTTTTTAAGCAGATGAGTAAGAATTTTTAAACCTACGTGTTTTTGATGTTACTGAATTTGACTTGGACTGTGAAGTGGGTGAAGGTTGATTTGGGGTGGAATTATTCCTCATACTGTCTAGTAAACCACCTCTGGTCATCAGGCATTTTCCTTTTCCACTTGCAAAGCCCATTTGCTTTGGCATTGTTGTCTTGGGTCCTTTGCAAGCAGCAGTTCCCAAAAGCTTTGCAAGGGGAAGCAAGGGATTCATCTATTTGAATGAAAAAAGTTTTTCTGTGTCCGTCACCATTATCCCCAAAGGCAAAAAGAGAAATTTCCATATAATTCAAGTCAGAGAAGATTTTTGCCTTAAACTATTTAGGAGAACTTGTCAAGGGAATTGCTGTTCCTCATCTAGACTGTTTTCTCCTCGAAGTCTTTGTGATTCTTTCATGGTGAGAGGAACTCTTGGTGCTCTGGAAGAAGAGGAGGAGGATGTCTTTGGGCTGGTGGAGTGTGTTAAAATAGTTTCTTTTTCACTGGTTCTCAGTTGTTGCTTTTGTTTTGAGATAAGTTTGTATGAATAACCCCTCTTTAGGATATACTAAGCAGATCTGGGTATCAGAACTGTTGACTACCAAAAGAGTATCATCATCATATGATAAACTCCTCTTTTGAGCTTTTTTCCCCTGAGGTTTTAGAGGAGTTACTTTTAAGCTCTTATCTCAAATTCTCTGCAGCTCAGAGCTGTGGGAAGCAGGGGGAAGCTGCCGAGTGATCTCTGTTGGAGGCCTCCAGCCTTCCCTTGCAAAGCTTCACTTGAGATAATTCCTGTTAGTTCTGTGCCATCTCCTCTCTGCCCTGGTCACTGCTGTGCTCCTGGCATTCCCGGGGCAGCCCAGGAAGCTTGCTGGGCACTCATGTGGATGAGTGGGCACAGACTTGGAGCACACGGAATTGGAGCAGTAAGATGCAAATGTATTGGAACTGGTCCTGTGGGGTTCCCTGTTCAGTAGCTGAAGGTTTTGGCATGAGAAGAGTTGGAAGAGTCTTTTTCAACACTGCAGAGTCCCTTTTTTTCATGGACTGAAAACGGGCTAGGACTTGTTTAGCCCTTGCAACTGTTGTGAGTGTTGTCCAGAGGTTGTTATGAAGATAAAACCTAGCAGATAAATAGATTGCAGTTGGGGTTAAGCATTTTCAAGCATTGTCTAAGAGGGTTTTTTACTGTTATTTATTGGGTAGGTCTTGTGTCAAGCCAAATGAATGCCAGCTGCACTCACAGAGCCAGATGATTAAGATCTGCACTGGTATTAAGGTCACTGGCTGAATTAGAGAATGAGATGGATTAATGTTTGCACAATATTGAAGTGTGTGCCAGCTGCCAGCAGCCATGGTCTTTGTTCTCTTAAAATTGAAAAGAAATGTAGAATTTTAATGTTTCTATAAAATTGACAGTTAAATGCCTGATGGCAGTAATGGGTGACTTCCTTGGGATGTATCACTGAATACTTCTGTGGAGTGTTGTGCAGGCGTTCATCTCCATTGCCTCTCGAACTAAACTCTGTCAATTAAATTAGTTTACTCTTGTTTTGCCAGAGTTACTGGGTTTACCACTGGGGTAATGATGTGTTTATCTAATGAGGCTTACGCAGATGACCAAGGCAGGGGTGGAGCCAGGTGGGGCTCTGCTCCCAGGGAACAAGGACAGGAGGAGAGGGAACGGCCTCAAGCTGTGCTGGGGGAGGTCAGGTTGGACATCAGGAAGAATTTCTCTCTGGAAGGGGTGGTCAGGCCTTGGCAGGGGCTGCCCAGGGAGGTTTGGAGTCCCCAGCCCTGGAGGTGTCCCAGGAAGGACTGGACATGGCACTCAGTGCCCTGGGCTGGGGAATGAGGTGGACACTGGGCACAGGTTGATCTTGGAGGTCTTTTCCAACCTTAATTGTTAGGTAATTCTAAGAAGGACAGAATTACTCTGGAATTGTTTCCTAATCCTGGTGAGTCTGGAGTTAATGATAGAGCAGCATCTGGTTTCCCAGAGGTGGAGTCTGTATGTGGTGTGGCAGATGAGCTTTTTCCTCAGACCAAAGGAAGATTTTAAGTTGCTCATAGTTGCTGCATGACTTTACTGCACTTCTTTACTGGATGTAGTGGTCACTTTGCCCTAGAAAATAAAATCACTGGCACCAGATGCTGAACTCTTACTCTTTCTAGTAGTTAAGGAGCCAGAACTTGTCACTGTATTTCACAAAGCACAATTTCCAAGCAGCATAAGCTCGTTAGCAGGGCTGCATCCAGACCTTGGATTCCTGGATCACCTCTGAGGAACCACTTGGGCGTATTTGCCTGAGCAGTTTGGCTCTTTGCTGCAGAGCAGGGCTGATTTCGATACCACAGCTCTGGTGACCACCAGTAGTGGAGCACTAATTGCCCAAGTGCAACTCTGCAGTTGCCAAATGAGGGGTGTGAAATGCTGGTGAAACGGCGTGTGCTGGGGTTTGCTTTGGCACGGCCAGAACCTTGGGAATCGATACTTGGAAAGCAGAGAGCACGTGTTTTAAATGCCTGCATATTCCT